AATGGTTACCGCCCCTTAATACATGTTGACCGCTTAATACAGGTTCCGCTGGCATAAAATAGAGCAATTTATGTGATGATCTGAATCATACACGCATTTTGATTGGTCCTTAGCGATGATCTATTTGGGGAAAGATTCTCAGACGTTATCATCAACAACATATTGCTTTTAATGCTATCATGTAAAAGAAATGGTTCCATGTTGCCGTGGGTCTGCACAGTAACAGATCACAGAAGACGTCAATTTTTGATGATAACATCAGTGACGCACTCGGCGGCGCCTTTTGTGCCACTTTTTTGTTCTTGCTGCATTTTGAGCTGTGATCTATTACTATACAGACGTACAGCAAAACAGACCCTATTTGTTAAATCGAGCGTGAAAATGTTGTAGCTCCCATTGCGTGCCTGCATTTTGACGTCAACATCCGGGACATCGGCCATGAGCTTTGTCGAAAAAGAACTAGTTGCCGTGTTTGTACTAACATATTTTGCTAACCAAAATTGTTGAGTTATGGTTACTCTAAACTAGAAATAGTCGGTAAGTTCTATCGCATTTCGTATGTATTGTAATTTCGCTTGCTAAACGTGTAATTTTTGTTCGTAGAAAACCTGCCTTATTGCCTAACTGGATGTTTACTCGGCTTGCTTACTGGAACATTTGTGGATTTTCTTTGGAATACCTGTAAATAATTTGTTGAGTCTTGCGCTTGTGTGGTCCTGCGAACTGCGTAATAAACATTTTTCCAAAATCTGATGAGCCCGTATCCATACTGCATAATTTTTCTGACTAGCAACTTGGTTTACTTCAATGTCAGGAATTATAAGTAACTAACAATGTCCCTGAATAATAATAAATAGGCCGGAACACACGAAAGAAAGCAAAATTATTTGGTAGCTCAGGAATGAAGTACAAAATAGTAATAAAACTAGTAATAATCAAAGATTAGTAAAGTGCGTTCGATCTCTAATAAATTTTTTTTGTACTGATTGCGCAGAAAAAAATCGGTGCCTTCAGCTCTAGGTGTCACGATCGATCCTTTTGGGACTGGTCCATAAAACCCTTGAGAATGATTTCCGTAAAAACGACACGCCTTGAATAGCGTTCTCCTTCGTCGAGCGCAAATATTTTGGTCTATACATAATTTTTCATGCTAGGAAAATTGTGTTGGCACAACGAGATAATAGACCACTCACAGCTTGAATATAAGGCCTCAGTCACATCTTTACTTTCTCGACATCTCTTCGAAAACTTTCACGGCCTGGCAACGATAACAACTGAGGAGAATAGAAAAATATATTTACATCATCTGGGGTTATTTTACTTTTACTGTTACATTTTAACTTTCATTCATGAAGTCAGTATATCTTAAAGAGCTCCAATCCATTAATTTCAAAAGTATGATATGTATAATGACAAGCTAAATATGATGACTTCATCAAAGGTC